TTATGCTTATGCTTATGTTAAAGTGTGAACCAGCCCTTAGAAACACGATTTTTCATGTTCCTTACGCCCTAAATTGGACCCACCCTTGACATTTTTTTTGTCTTATGGTCAGAAAACAAAAATAAAATTGTTGGCTTTTGGAATATCTCGTGTATTACACTCCTTTTTATACTTTATATGAATATCGAGGCTAAAATTTGCAAAATTTTAAATAAACCCGAGGCTGAAAATTTGAAAAGAACATAATTTTGTGTTGAAAATTTGTAAATACAATACAATTATGTTTTTCACTAAACCTTTTAAAACTTTTCTTTCCCTAAACGGCATAACCAGCCAAAAGACAACAAAAACAGCACTAGCTGTATGTTTGATTCTGCAATCAGGCTTTATTGCCTACAGTCTGGCTCCAAAATAACTTCAACACCATCAAAGTTTGATAGGACACATAATCTGACGTTATGTCCGTAAGCATAGTCTACTTTGTGTTACTACAATCTAACGATATTTACAAGAATATTTTCAGCCTAAAATCGGCAGAAAATAAATATATTTAGCCTGAGCCGGAAAAACAATATTCTTACAAAAAAAAAAGAGTATTAAAGGCCAATTTAATTCTGGAGCAAGTTTCATCAAAATCTGTTGACAACTGGAACACCTTCACTTGTTAGTTAGGTGACAGCAAAGCGCACCGAGTGGGCGTTAATTAAACAATGAAAAGCAAAAGAATCCTTAGGATATATAGCAAACGGTTAAAAATTGTTCCTTATAAACATCATTTAAATTTTTCTGGTAAGAGATTTTATTATATTCTACGTATTAGACCAGCTTAACCAATAAAATCGCTGCTGAGATATGCTTGTAGTGTTGTTTCTGAATAAAATGATCTTCAAACGGAAAGATCACTTTCTCGGAGTATAGAAAAGACATGTACACTACAGTGAGATGTTGGGAATAACATATTGATAGCACAAATGAAGCGAGACTTTCGTTATTCTGCGTTGGAGATCATCGATAGAGTAAAATAGCGACAAACATGCAAAATGATAAAAATTTCTCCGTTTTCTTCCCAGCTAAAAATTGTGCGAGCTTTGTTTGCTTCAAAAGCTAAAATAGCATACCATTTATTTCCGGACATCATTTCTACGGAAATTAATCCGAAAATCGTAGAACAACCATGAAACGAAAATTTTCGGCTGTCCAAATTTAAGGCTAATCTCTTCATATATAACATCAGAGTGCTGTTAAGATACCTGATCAAATGCAATAAAGTTTTATTTTTTTGGTATTTTTCATTATTAATTACATGTAGCACTGCAGAGCAAAGTATTTTCAACAAAACCCAGCTGTTGCAATGAATCAATCATTGAACATTGCATTCATGAAATAGCAATTGTCCATTGCGCCCTATTTCCAACAAATTTCCTATATATTAAACTAGGCATAGAAATGTTAATTTTTGGCGATAAAACATAACCTCGTTAAACTCTCACCCAACGTATTTAATTGAGTTGATCAGTAAACACTTTTTCTTTGT